ATTCCACCGGGCTCAGTGGCTCAGCCTGTAATCCCACGCCTTTGGGAGGCTGAGGTGAGTGGATTGCCTGAACCCGTGGGGTTCGAGACCCGCCTGGGCAGAGAGACCTCATCTCTATAATAAATCAAAAAATGAGCCGGGCGTGGTAGCGCATGCCTGTAATTCCGGCTACTCGGAAGGCTGAGGTGGAAGGATCGCCGGAGCCCAGCAGGTCGAGGCTGCGGTGGCCGGGAGCGGCCACTGCACTCCAGTCTGGGCGACAGAGTGAGACTCCAACTCAAACAAAACAAAACAAAACAAAACAAAACAAAAAGTCATCCTGACCAAGCTGCCTCCTCTCCCCTTTGCCCCCTCACCACCTGGTCCTTCCGTCTCTTCCTGTATACCTCAGGTGACTACTAGAGAGCTCAGTGCCTCTTGGGGGAGCCCTTCCATCTTTGGGCAACTTGGTAAAAAACATAAGGAAAATATGTCTCCCTATAATCCCTCCTTATTAGCCCTGGCCCCACCCCTTCAGGGTAAAACACAAAACAAGATGAAGCCGGCAGACACACGACAGCCATGGGGAGATGGAAGACAGGGATGACATCCTTCCAAATCTACTGGCTACAATACAGACCTGGGTCCCTTCCATTTCCCCTGTTACTCTCCCATTATGAGAATCCTTGCCATCTTGCTCACTCCCTTCTAAACTTTCCCTAATTTGTCTAGCAAAGTGTGGTACCTAGAATGGAAAACAGCCTGGGAGTGCTATATGTGTGTTTCAAGCTTAGTCTGAACCATGTGAAATTGCTGATACTTGATCACTTCTGACCCATCAAAACCGCAACTCCATACAGTTCAGCTTCATATATATGTGCCACCTAAGGTTCATGTTAATCAAAACAGCAGCTGATTCTTTCCTGTTCTGTCTGCCTGGCAAACAAACACAGACAGCAAGTACCCCAAATAAAATTCTCTATCTCTGTCACCCTCCAGCCTAGAAACCTAATAACACATCACGCAAGGTACCAACTGGATTTGAGGGGGCAGGCCAGAGTCCCACTGTGCAAAGCTGTTCAGATCCACCCATATTTTATTCTATTTGGCTAAGGTTTAGCTATCTCCCCCCAAAGCACACAACCTTCACATGAGAATAATGCTACATAGGCGTTTATACAGACAAAATAACATGGCCACACTAAAGGCCTGTCTTCCATAAACCAAGTCATCTTGAAGCTGTCTAGATATGCCTTAAGCCACGTCCAAAAAACAGCTCCTTGGCAACATAGTCATGTGGGAAAATAAAGTCTTCATTTTTAAAAACTCTTTGTTTTATATTATTATTATTATTATTTTTGGAGTCTCACCCTGTCACCCAGGCTGGAGGACAGTGGCATGCTCCCAGCCACCACAGCCTCAACCCGGTGGGCTCCTGTGATCCTTCTGCCTCAGCCTTCCAAGTAGCCGAAACTATAGGCACGTGCTACCATGCCTGGCTAATTTTTTATTTATTGTAGAGACGAGATCTCTACAAAAGTTGCCCAGGTGGTTCTCGGACCTGTGGGCTCAGACAATCCTCTCACCTTGGCCTCCCAAAGTACTGGGATTACAGGCTGAGCCACTGAGCCCGGCCTAACTTTTTTTTTTTTTTTAAAGAGATGTGGTCTTGCTTTGTTGCCCAGGCTGGTCTTGAACTCCTGGGCTCCAGTGGTCCTCCCACCTCAGCCTCCCAGAGTTCTGGGATTACAGGTGTGAGCCGCCATGCCTGGCCTATTTTGTACTCATTTTAAATTTCCAGAAAAGTTACAAAAATAGTCAAGTTTTCATATCTCCCTCATCTTATGACTTCTGATGTTAACATCTTTCATAATCATGGTGCAGTTGTCAAAACCAGAAAATTGCCATTGGCACAATACTGTCAACTAAAGACTTGTTTTTATTTTCACCAGTTTGCCACTGTGGTCCTGTTTCTGTGCCAGGAGCCTCCCCAGGGTCCCACTTTGTATCTGGTTGTCATCTCTCCTGTTCTCCTTCAAATGTTAACCATCTTTCATAACCTTGTTACTTTTGAAGAAGTACTTTGTTACATTTCCCTTAATTTGGGTTTGTCTGGTGCTTTTCCATGGTTGGACTGAGATAATGCATTGTTGATATAAATCCCACAAAAATGGTCATGTCCTCAGAGCGTCACATCGTGGGGGTGTTTGTGGTACTGATTTGTCTTGTTACTGGGGATGTTGGTCTTGATCACTTATTAAAGTGGTTCCTGCCAGATTTCTTCTCTGCTCAGGTGCTGTGAGAACCTGCATTTTGATGAAGCTAGTGAGCACAAAACATTTTTTTCTCTTCTTTATCCACAGTAGATATGAAATAAGCACAAATATTTTGAGTTCTTCTTTTAGGATTGTCTTCAGAGTCTTTGAGTTGCCTGGAAGACAAAACAAAAGGCCTCCTCTACACAGAGCATCTGTGGAAAGCAAAAGCGGGATGGAGTCTCGGTGTCGCCCATTTATTTTTTTTCCACTGCATCAGTACCGCGCACTAAGCTTGGCTCTCTCTTCTCTCCGAGTGCCTCATTCCCCAGTGGTCCCTCGAGCAGTCCTGGGAGCATTCCTGCCACTGTGCCCGTGCAGATGCCAAAGCCCAGCAGGGTCGAGCAAGTGCTCGCAGGTAGGTACCCTGCACTTGGGATCAGAACACACTGCCCCACAGAACTAGGTGGGAAGGAAATTGAGGGACAGGCGCCTCGTCACCCCTGGTCCTTAGGGACACTGGAAGGGGCTCCTTGGGGGAGCAGTGCCTCTTTGGGTGGTGGCGCACTCACACGACTGAGCCTAGGTACCCCCTCCCTGGGCTCTTTGGGGGAAGTGAGGCCTGACAACATTGAGTGCCAGGTATGGATCTTTAACTTCCCTTTCCATTTTTGTATTAAATTACATTATAGTTCGAGTCACTTTTCAGTTCTGAAATGCTTTAAGCAAGGGGCCCTCTGGGGAATTCATAGAACTATTTTAGCTGTAGTTACATCTTGTTTTGAATAATCACCTTTTGGTTCCAACTAGATCTTTTGCTATCATACATACTGGAACTATTTTTAGAAGTCCTTTTACAGGTGTTGGAGAGCCACTGAGGTTATTTTTTAACTTCTGGG